GCTGTAGGGCTGTAAAGAAAAACAGCACTGTAAGGAACAGAAAGTGCTGGAGGCGAGGTGATTACTAATTATATTTCGGGAGGGCCTCTCTGAGCCAAGGACTCGTATTTGAGCAGAGGCCTGAATGAGCCACATGACAATCTCAACAAACTCGAACCCAGTGACCGAACAAGGACCCCTGATGGACGGTCAGACTAGGAAGAGAGAAACGGACAGGCGGCGCCCTCCTGAGCTGCGCGCCCGCCCAGGGAGAGGAGCGTGGCCCCAGGGTACTCGCCCAGTCCGCTGGAGAACCGCCCCAGGCTGGTCTCGGGCAGTGTCAGCGTGTCTGTCGTTGCTGCTTACATTTAGGTCCTGATGAGCAATCCCGCTTCCTCCTCCAAACTTAACATTTCAGCCCTCCCAAGTTTCTCCCTTGCTCACTACTCCCCAGCACGGCCCCAGCGTGGCCGCTGGAAAGTCAGGCTAGGGCGACAGCTCTAACAAAGAGCCCCTGACAGCGGTGCGGCATGGTCAAGTACAGCAGGTGCATCCAGCCAGCGGTGGGAAGAGAGAACGAGGGGGGCCACATGGGCAGCCAGGCCTCGAAGTGACCCATGTCATATTCCAGGACGTCACACGACCACATGGAACTGCAAGGAGGCTGGGACATAGTCCAGCTGACTGACTAGAAGGCGCGAGAACCAGGCTGGGCTCTGCTGTCACTCTATGCCCTTGAACTACCACGGCCTCATCTGCCTCATCCAGGCGGTCCTGATTTGTTCTGGGCACCTTGTCAGGTCTTCCTCAAACTCATGCTTCCTCATCCCACTCATCTACAAGACCAATGGAACCCTTCGTGTCCACAGCGAGATGGGCATTGCTTGGTCTTTGTTGGAAGCCCAGCAAACCCACCTGGAGTCCTTCCTCCTTGCAGGAGGCTGCTCGGGTTCTTTTATTTATTTTTTGAAAGATTTTATTTATTTGACAGAGAGAGAGAGAAGCACACGCAGGGGGAGCGGCAGAGGGAGAGGGAGAAGCAGGCTCCCCGCTGAGCAGGGAGCCCAACCCAGGGCTTGATCCCAGGACCCTGGGATCATGACCTGAGCTGAAGGCAGATGCTTAACCCACTGAGCCACCCAGGCGCCCCTGCTCAGGTTTCTGTATACCAGCATCCAGACACCACGCTTGACTGGTTTCCAGCCCACACCTCTCCTAACACTGCACCTCCTGTCCCACCCAAGACAGCCTCCCCCAGGACCTGGCTCAAGTCCCATCTGCCCCATTCTCCACATCCCACACCAACTTCGAAATTCTCTCATGCATTGGCTTGCATACCAATAGGGGAATCTCTACAGAGACAGCATTGGTATCATGGCATAGAAGCCTGAAGTGGGGGTAATTTCCAGTTTCAGGCTGACTGAGAACGGTAGTGGAAAGGGAATGGGCTCCCCTCAGTCTCTAGCTAGAGCGGCAGGTGCATGCCACCAGCTCGAGTCAGAAAACACAACATGCCCCAGGAACCAAGCCGACCATGGAAATGGCTCCCAGGAGTGCTCAACAGGCCCGAAAGGGGGTAAATAGCAAAGGGGGCACCCAGTGCCTTTGATTCCTTAGCACAGGATAGGACCAGGGGAGGAGCGAGGGCAGGACCCAGGCCTGGACCCTTCATGCTTTAGGGCACTTACACAAGCCCAGAGCAAACACACCAGCTGTCACGTTGGAGGCCTATCAGACTCAGGATAGCTGTATCGACCCTGCTTTTCTAAACCGGAGTTCTGGATACATCTGACAGGGGGATGCAATAAAAATAAGACTGTCCTTGGAGAACTAAGACCAGTGTTGCTTATCAGATGGGCCAGAATCAAGTCTTGAAAGGCTGTCTTAGTAATATCTTAAAGTTTTTAATTCCAGTTAATATACAGGTTATACTAGTTTCAAGTAATATCTTTCAGATGGGTTATAGTATGCCTTTTAAACGGATGATGTTAGGGCGCCTGGGTGGCTCAGTCAGTTGGGCATCCGACTCTTGACTTGGGCTCAGGTCATGTTCTCAAGGTTGTGGGATCGAGCCCTACCTTGGGCTCCAAGCCCCGCGTCTGGCTCTGCTCAGTGCAGAGTCTGCTTGGGATTTTCTCTTTCTCTCTCCCTCTGCTCCTCCCCACCCCCACTCATGTGCTCTCTAAATAAATAAAATCTTTAAAAAAGTAAACTAACGATGTCAATAGTAATAGAGAACAGTATTGTGCAATGATAGAAAAAAAATAAACTGAAGAGCTACAATGTAGCAAAAAGTAACACATGGCAGAATCTGGCCACAGACAGGAGTATTTTGTTCTAATCAGTAATGTCGTCTAATTTTAATGAAAGTCCCCACATGATTGGGGACACCTGGCTGGCTCAGTTGGGAGAGCACACGACTCTTGATCTCGGGGTTGTGAGTTCAAGCCCCACACTGGGTGTAGAGATTACTTAAAAATACAATCTTTAGAGGTGGAGCACCTGGGTGGCTCAATTGGTTAAGTGCTCGACTCTTGATTTCAGCTCAGGTCATGATCTCAGGGTCCTGGGATGGAGCCCCTGGACTGGACTCCATGCCGAGCAGGGAGTCAGCTTCAGATGCTCCTTCCTCTACTCCTCCACTCTAAAATCTTTAAAAAAAAATCTTTAGGGGCACCTGGGTGGCTCAGTGGGTTAAGTAACTGACTTGATTTCAGCTCAGGTCATGATCGAAGGGGGTGGGACTAAGCCCCACACTGGGCTCCATGCTGGGCATGGAGCCTGCTGTAAGATTCTCTGCCTCTGCCCCCCAACCACCCCCCATGCACACGCTCCCACCCTCACTCCCTAAAGAAAAAAAGAACTTGGGCGCCTGGGTGGCTTAGTTGGTTAAGCAACTGCGTTCGGCTCAGGTCATGATCCTGGAGCCCCAAGATCGAGTCCTGCATTGGACTCCCTGCTCGACGGGGAGTCTGATTCTCCCTCTGACCCTCCCCGCCTCGTGCTCTCTTTCTTTCATTCTCTTTCAATAAAAATCTTAAAAAAAAACTTAAAAAAAATCCCGTCTCATTATATATATATAAACCAGCTCATGACATCAATTTTAAATGTTTTTTTTTTTTTTTTTAAGATTTATTTATTTGACAGAGAGAGACATAGTGAGAGAGGGAACACAAGCAGGGGGAGTGAGAGACAGAGAAGCAGGTTTCCCGTGGAGCAGGGAGCCTGATACAGGGCTTGATCCCAGGACCCTGGGACCATGACCTGAGCCCAAGGCTCAATCGCAGACGCTTAACGACTGAGCCATCCAGGCGTCCCAGTTTTAAATGTTTTAAAAGTAGTGTTTGGAAGGCTCTGAGTAGCAAGTGGGTTAGTCAACAGCACTACCATCCAGCACTTACATATCTGTGCTGTTGGCACATAGAACTGTTCTTCCTTCCTTAACAGTGATGAACAGCCTAAGATATAATGGTAATTCAGGATTTTGATGCCAGCCATCTTGGGAGTAAGCACAGGACTCATTTGCCTCAGGGCTCTGGCTGGAGGGAGGGGCCTATGGCCCCTGGGACTAAGTTTAAAAACTCCCCCAATGAACACACACTCCAAGAACATATACAGGATCTCCTTGTGCTTCAACGTAAAATAGAGCTCAGACCTGGAGAATTTGCATTTCATGGAAATACAGTGTCTTAGGAATGAAAGTATTTCCAAGGTGCCCAGATACCATTCCACTTTCGTCTTCCCCAGTTATCAATAGGTACTTCGGTAAAGCAGAGTTCAGCCTGAAGACCCCCTACTGTCAGCAGGTCAAGACCACTTGTGCCCCTTGCCTTAACCTCTTTCCAACATGCCACGCCTGTTTGTGCCCTCAACCACCATCCTGGAGTACCTGAAGGTGGGGTCTGGGGCTGCAGACTGCCCTGAAGCACTTGGTAGGAGCGGTCACCACCATCTCCTCGGCAATCATGTTTGAAGATGAGTCTGTTACAAACTCTCAGGCCCGTGAGCCGGGGGTGCCTGGGCTCCAGCTGCTGCGGGGCTAGAGGTGAGCCCAGGAAGTGGGGGCCTCAAGGCCACTTGCCCACCTACAACTCTTAGTCATCAATCGCAGATGAGCTTTCCACGATGGAGTCTTCCCCAAGATCCTCCCACCCAGATGCCTTCCCAGGAATTACAGATCCATGGTGGGAGGGCATATGACCACCAAGAAGCCTGTGACCAAACTGTGCAAAAGCATCAACCTTCCCAGTGATCATGATGCTATTCTGAGGCCATGAGTCAAACAGAGCAAAAAGTCTCAACGAGGCAGACGGTCAATGCCTGAAGTTTTCACTTAAATGGCCCCACTTTGGAAGCATCTGCTCAGCCTCAGAGTAGCTCATAGGTGGTCTGAGACCGGCAGCATCCAGCAGGACGGTGTCGGTTCAAGTTCCTTCTCACCAAGGTCATCGTAGAAAAGCGGAGGAGTGAAAACTACGTAGCACCCAAGCAGGGCAGCCGCAAATGAGGTGGTGCGCTGAACTCTTGTTTACGAACTGGACCAAGACTGTAAGTGGAAATTTCTTGGGTTTAGTTTCTGTTCACATTCTCCTCTGGTCTACAACGGCCAGTGTGGTGTGGTCAGGCCTGGTCTCACCCCGTAGCAGCTAGCTGAGCAGGCAAGTAGGCTTTAGCTCCTTGGCACACGGACACTGCTTCGACACAGACCATTCTGGGCTTCTGTCTTTTAAGGGGGGGAGGGGATGAGAACCAAGCAAGCCATGCTCTGGGTCTAGACCAGAGTTTCCAAAGTGTGGCCTATGGCTTCCATCAGAAGCACCAGGCCTGCCTGTCTGTCCTTAACCACCATCTCGCAGCACCTGAGGGCGGGGGGCATCCACATTGTGAACAAGCGCCCCAGGGATTCTGACGAGCTGCTGCATGTGCGCAATCACGACTCCTGGGGCCCAGCAAGATCCACATGCACCCCCAAGGAGCTAGGCGAGTCGGAAAATAGGACACAGGAGTCCTAACACCTGACATGGCTTTTAGGTTTTTATTTTAAGTAAGGCGGGGGGGGGGGAGAAGAGAAAAGATACAGAGTGAAGAATTCATTGTATGTTTATTATTCACAGTTAATCACTACCTACCAAATGCTATCCGCAGAGTTAAAGGATTAAGTACATAGGTCTTTTTATTTAAACACTGATTTTTTTTTTTAAATATATACACACAAAACTTAGTTTAGCAAGGCTTCATGATATACACCAATTCCAAAATAAAACAATCAAATGGTCCAGGTGTAGAATGCCGGAGATACCTTTTATCATCAACGAGGAAAGAAGCTACCAGAAAGGGAGCGAGGGGGCGGGTGCTCTGTCCAGAAGAGCAGCTGCCTCCAGGGCCTCTAAGTACTCCAGGCTGAGTCTGGCTCCATAACCAGAGTCCAGGGGAGACTCCAACCGACCACCTCAGAACCCAAAGGCCGTCACCGACTCCCAGGCAGCCCTGTGTTTGTTGCAGGCAAGGGGATCGGGTGGAGAAAGTTCACAGGCACATCACTATGAGGGACAAGCAGCTGACAAGCCGGACAGAGAGAGCTCTGCAATGGCCTCGGCCTTCCTACATTTCCCACTCATCCTTCCCCAACTGTCCCTGCTTCACCGAGACATTTCCTTCGGGGGAAGGGCAAAGCGGCTACAGACACGGCCCACTGGGAACGGAGACATAAAAACCCAGCTGCTTCTTGAACGCTGCCCTAGTGCTCACCTGGGCAGGTCAGGCAGGGGACACAGCAGATGAAAGCCATGAACAGATACCTCTGATTTTCAGAGCAAGAAAAACGCAAGCTCCCATTTTCCACCCCGGTGTGGGAACACAGTGTACAACCCGATACAGTCACAGAGTGACGGCTGAAGTTCCTTGGGCTTTCCTGTGTTTGAAACTTGCTGGCTCCAGGGAGTTTTCTCTGGGGGGCTCTGGAGCTGAGGAGGGGCGGACAGCAGCCGGGATCGCAAGGTCAAGGAGACTCTGACCCCCTACCCCCAGCCAGATCCAGTCCGAGGTGGGAAGAGCTGGACCGTCTCCTCCTTCCCCAGCAGCTGGCGGCACTGCTCCCCTGTGGCAGCCACGGCAGACTCCAGAGGGCTGACAAATATTAAAGCTGAACCTTAAAGACTCGTGGCTGAGAACAGGCAGAATGGCCACACCCTCCACCTGAGCTTTCTCCGCGGCTCTACCCCGCTCTCCCCTCCCCCCGGGGAGGACTATTTACAGAGTAGGAGACAAATTGGCTAAAAAAGCTCTGGACTGTCTTTAACTTATTTTAAAACAAATAAAAAAACACCACTCATAAGCAACTCTTGAAATAAGGAAAAAGGCACTATGAAAAATCAACATGCTCAATAATACCATTTGGAAGGGAAAACAATGTAGAAAAGAGACAAAGGTTTTTAGCTTGACTTTTCTCAGGAAGCCATGAGGGTTAACAGTCCTTCCTTTTGCCCCCACTCCGTTTTCAACTTTGTCACAAGACGCTGGCGGCCGGGGGCTGCCCCCATTTGGCAGAAGCTGCCCAGCAAGGGCTGCCGGCCACCCGCCCCCTCCTGTGTGTGCGCCTGAGGAACAGGGCCATGGCTGTCCTTCCTGCAGTCACTCCGATTACAACAGACATTTTGCATAGAGAAAATACCAGCCCGCTTGTTTCTTTTCTTTTATTATCGGCATCAGCTAGGACTATATGTAGTATTAGACGTCATGCACTGATGGACAGAAGAGAAGGATGGAAAGGAGGACAAAGGAGAAACAGGAGCAGCGGTGAAAATTTGTAATAAAAACTCTTCTTAATTTATAGGTAAGTTTTGGCATTTTTATATCCAACGCCCCCCCCCAGAGTTCCAACCAAAGTGAGAGGGTCACCAGGTGACCCAGCCAGGTGTTCTGAGCTCCCTCACGGGCTGCTGTTAAGGCAGCTCGCGGGTTTAATTCTTTTGTATGTGTTTTAAATTTTTCACTTTCTTTAAATAATCTCTTCTTAATTCTTAGACGTTCCGGTTCACAGGGGTGACGTAATTGCGGGGAAACATGCCGGTCTGCCCGTGGCAGGCCCCTTTCCACCAGTTGGGGTCTGAGTTATCCATGACGTGGATAAAGTCTCCCCGACGGAATCCCAGCTCTCCATCCTCCTGGGGATCAAAGTCAAAGAGGGCCTGGACGTACGTCGGCTGCTGCAGAAGAGGGGCAGGGAGAGAACACCCGCTGGGTCTCTGCTCATGGCCAGCCCCCTGCCGGGCGGGACTAGTCACAAGGGTGCGACAGACGTGTGCTGACTCCTACATGTTTCCCGAGACAACCTTCCATTTCTCCCCCCCCCCACTCGTTTATCCTTCCAGGTTCTAGGTCTACTCTATGTGGGAGCGGGGTACGTTCACCAGGGCTCACAACAGCCTAGAACGTGCGAGGGCACATCCCGCCATGGCGGCTAGGGCACCACACCACGGAAGCAAATGCTGCTTGTCAGGGAAGGAACTCCGGGAAACAGCAGTCAGGCTCCGGTTTACAACCCTAAGCTTTGAAAAGGCTTCAGTTCCCATCAGTTTATTGCTTATAAAGTCCTTAAGGTTTTACAGAGTCAAAAGGTCAACAGCTTGACTAAAATAAGGTGGAGCTCCCCCTAACACAGGCCTGGGGCTTTAGGCACAGGAAGATAGGAATGAGTGTGGACTCAACTCCCTTACAAGCAAGGTTTTCCTCCTTACTTGCTTCCAGGAATACAATATCGGAGAGTGTTAAAGACCATTTTCCTTCAGAGACATAGGTGGTACCTGGCAACACACCGCCTCAGAAAGGCAGCCTCTGGGAAAGGCAAAACCATTTTGTTTCAAACTACACGTAATATTTTGAATAATGAGCACAGAAGCCCCAGAAGGAATCCTTTGAAAAGGTACTTGTCTGCCTGAGGAGCTATTCTTAATTGCTAAAAATGATCCCAATCTCTCTTATGAGGCTTACCTGTGGCACCTGTTCTATGTCCCGGAGGAATATCTGCTGGTTTCTGGAGACAGATGTAGATCTGTGATAATCTACCAGCTCATTCAGAGAATTGAATTTCACCACCCAGAGGAAATACTTTCCAGCTCCATCTCGGAGCACCTTGAAGTGCTGCACATCATTTCCGAACCTGGGAAGGGCAGAGAACACACGCGGGAACAGTCAGAGGGCTCTGTCCCGGCTACCTGGGGGCCACGTGCCCACCAAATCGAGGAGGTGTCTTATGAGAACTAGTATTCTGGCAACGCTTCTCAGAGCCCGAGGGGCCCCGGACTGCAGCACAACACGACTCCCTGGCTGGAGTTAGGACACTGAGTGCCCCTGAGATCCCTCCAATGGACTGATGATTACCAGTGGCAAGAGGAAGAATCCTTGTCAGAGAGGGAAACCCTGTCCATCAGGTTAATTCTGAAGATGTTTGTAAAATAATGTCCTAACCTATGGCGTGTCTCCACGTGCCCTGCACTGTACCAAATCAAACAGCCTTATTCAGGGAAGAGTGTGACTTCATTAACTTTTCAAGCAAAAACCAAAAAAATCCAAACAAACAAAAATCCCCGTCAAAGCCTTACATGATATTTAAAGACTACAAGAGGTGGGAGAGGAAGGTGAGAGAGGAGGGACTAGAACATACTTTCAACAACTCCCCTGTAACTGGGAGTACAGATCATGTTTTCCATTCAGGGATTTTAGTTCTACTCATGGGTGAAAAGGTCTCAGAACGGAACATCGTGGGCCAATAAATACAAGAGGCTGAGGTACCCAGTGCCCAGAGGTTTCTTGACCTCCGGGTAACATGCTTCTCCGTACGGTGGCCCGCAGAAGCAGGAGTTCAACTGGGAGCTGACCACCGCTAACCACAGTGCTATGTGGCTGCGTCACCAGCCCAGCAAGGCTCTGCCTGGCCTGCTCACTGCTGGGTCCTCAGCACGGACACCAGAGGCCAGCCCTCCAACGGCATTCTATGAAGATCTGTAAATGAAGGACACTTCATTTGGTCTCTCCTCTCCTTCAGTCTTAAAGGGGGAAGGAAATGAAAAACTTCTTAAAAACAACCCAGTAGGTGGCAGCACTGGGCTTCAAGTAGGAGATCCCAAGTATTCAGAACCGGTGTTGCTTTTTCACGAGAATCCGTGTGTGCAGTGAGGAAGGAGGGCACATTCAAGCCACACTTCTGGCTCCACAGAAGCCCACTCCCACGGGTGCGATGCACATGGTTTCTATAAGGTGTACACGGTCCCAGACAGTGACGTGTTAACTGCCACGGTGTTTTCCATTACTGACTCACATCTCCAAACTAGAGAAACCTTTTAGAGACCGTGGATTCCTGAACCTCCTTTGAGAAGGTGTTTGTGTTGTTAAACGCGGTAATGACATCTGTTTCAAATTTTATTTCTGAAACAATAAATGCGGGACTCTTTCAAGTTTTTATGTGATAAAACGGAATGGTCTGGGAGCTTGCCAGCAGCTACCACATAAGCGTGTGCAGTGACTGGTAGTAATCAAGGCCTCCCAGCTGCACGCCACCCGCCTCGGTGGCTTTGGCCATCACTCAATTAACCTGCGAGTAACTGCTTGTACTCCTCGTTCTAGACTGTTTTCCACTCAGGTCAGTATAAAATGTAAGGAAAACAGACGATGAAACACAAGTTAGCAAAGAAGCATGAAGAATTGCATCTCAAGATGTTCTTCCTCAGACCCTCACTCACACATGTTTAACCAAGTGCATCAGAAAGCCACTGTTGGGGGGTGGGGGTGGGGAGGTAACCTCTGTAACTTGCCACGCAGTTTTGCTGTGAGCCTACGACTACTATAAAAAACGAAGTCTATTAAAAAAAGTCCTTTTTAGAAGATAATAATTAGATCCAGTTTGACTTTTTCATGCTGGGACTAAAAAACTCACTTATACCAGACACATATCTGTGCAGTGTTGTGAATATGGCCTGAAACCACCTCCCATACCTTCACTGAGAAAAAGAACACAAAAATTAAGCTTAAATCTACATTTCAAAAAACCTATACTGGTCCTACAATGAAACAAGATATTCAATTAATTTTGAAAACTGAAAAATCTTTACATTGTGTGTAAATGGCAAATAAACTATCTTAAGGTCTTCATTTAAAAATAATCAATGTGATCTATGATAACACTGATCTGAGTCCCCCCCTTCAATTTTTTTAAAATTCTAGTTAGTTAACATACAGCATAATATTAGTTTCAGGAGTAGAATTTAGTGATTCATCACAAATAACACCCAGTGATCTGAGTTTTTAACCTAATCATGCTGTCATATAAATGATGGAGTGATTTTTAAGATTCCCAGGGGAGGGGTTCCTGTGGTAATATATTAACTAGAAAGGACTGAGTCAAAACACATATGGAAATGACAATTTGATTAAAAATCCTTATTTCACAGATGAAAAGTGATTTGCTTGAAATCCTCAAAGTTCCAACTTATGTTCTCCACAATTCCGAGGGTGGTCAAACTCCCTGCCTTCCCCATTCCCTGTTTACCAGCTCCTCTTCACATTTTCTCACTGGGGAAAGCAAAGCACCTCCAAACCCTTGTGGTAACCATTTAAAGTTAAACTGAGAGAGGCCTAGGATGGTGTTGGGAGGATTTAAGCTAGACATCTGGTAAAGGTGCACAAAGTAGCTGACAGGGTGACCAGTCACGTCGACAGAGTGCGCAACAGGGATCCCACCGAGGGCAAACGAGGAAAGAGCTGTGTGCATGGAGGGCACAGAGGAGGGGTGGGGGATAGGGAAACCAGGCCGCTACTCACCAGCTGAAGACTTGTTTCCACACAGGAATCTAAACTCAGTACTGGTAGAACTGATTTTGAAGAGGAGCCAGAAATGACTATTTTAATGTAAAATATTCTGCTTTGGTAAAATACTGTTTAGGCTAAACCTCTACCAGCTGGCAACCTTTTGGTGTGTGTAGCCAGACAGCTGGCCTGTGGCTTCACAATTCAGACCAGCAGGGAGAGGCCCTGGGGACCAGGGCGGGAAGTACTTACTTGACAGAGAGGGAGAAGTCCCCCGGGGCACTCTCACTCTCTCGGATAAGAAAGGCCCCGTCATGCCGCTGTTTGCTAAGCATTTCTTCTGCCTTGGCTCTGGGGATTTTGCCAAAAAACCACCTAAGGAAGGAAGACAAGCCAGTCAACATCTGCTTCCCCACAAAGAGACGGGATATCCAGCCTCCAAAATGTAACAGAACACTCCTTGCCAAAGGAAGGGGCCTCCCTCTTTACCCTCCAGGGTCAACATGCCCCACAGAGCCATTCAGTCAGCTTCTCCCTTGAGACATGGACCATCTCCCTTCAAGTGACTTTCCCCTACCCTACTCTCCAGAAAGTGACTCATAAGGCATGATCGTGGGCCACTCTTCCTAAAGAAGAAGACACTTAAAGGTGGGCCTCCTGAGCCAAAGCCCATCGGGCTCCCTACTGACTCAGGGCCCTGGGGAAAGCCCAGGTCTATCAATATGAAGCACCGGAAGAACCACATAAGGAGACAGGCCTCTTCTCCCAGCCATTTGACAAGGCTGAAGCTTTGCTACAGTGGGATTAAGGGAAATGGAGGTAGGAAACTGGAAGGCCCAGAAACTGGAGCCAGGGCTACTACTTGTAACAGCCCAAGGTGAAGAGGTGCAGGCTCTGAGAGAGCAGCCTCTACTCCCACAAAGGCAGTCATTCCTCTCAGAGGCCTCTCCTGCCATCACTGCTCAGAGTCAGCTTCCAGGAGCCAGCAGGAACATCCTAATTTATCCTATGCAGAGGCAGTTAGTTGCAAGATTCAGTTTTTCATTTGGGATAGGTTATGGAGTCTTCTGCTCCCAATGCTAATTCACCTTGGCTGCAAGAAAAAGTGGGTGAATTCACACAAAACTATGGGTGCAACTGGCCTGTGGAGGAGGAAGGGGAGCGGGAGCAGGTAGGGGAGAGGAAGAGCAGGAGCGGTGAAAAAAGCTTCAAGTCATAGCTGCCTATTTCACATGAAAACCATTACTCATTAGGATGGGTCAATTGTGAAAACATTCTCTTTTCAAACCTGTCTTTAAATGTTATTATTTTTAAAAAGCAATGATATTACTTATAGCTAATAAGACCTATCTGGGGCGCCTGGGTGGCTCGGTTAAGCGTCTGCCTTCGGCTCAGGTCAGGATCCCAGGGTCCTGAGATCGAGCCCTACATCGGGCTCCCTGCTCAGAAGAAGAGTCTACTTTTCCCTCTCCCTATACCCCGCTCTCGTGCTCTCTCTCATGAGCTCTGTCTCAAATTAAAAAAAGTTTTTTTTAAAGATTTTATTTATTTGACAGAGAGAGACACAGCGAGAAAGGGAACACAAGCAGGGGGAGTGGGAGAGGGAGAAGCAGGCCTCCCACGGAGCAGGGAGCCCGATGTGGGGCTCGATCCCAGGATCCTGGGACCATGACCTGAGCCGAAGGCAGACACTTAACAACTGAGCCACCCAGCCGCCCCCATAAAAAAAAAAAAAAAAAAAGACCTATGTGCTTCATTAGACTCTTTACATGGTAACTAACATTCATTATATATGCAAACTGTAATAACAAAGGTACCAGATAGTCCATTAAAGTAATAAATCTAACTTACAAGCAACTGCATTGCAAGGAATCTCTAGAATAATAGACTATACTAAAATTCAAACATGGGGCACCGGGGTGGCTCAGTTAAGTGTCCGCCTCTTGGTTTCAGTTCAGGTCATGATCATGATCTCAGGGTCATGAGATTGAGCCCTAGAGTCCCTGCAACTGGTTCTGTGCTCAGCAAGGAGTCTGCCCGCCCCCACCCTGCACATTCTCTTTCTGAATCAATCAATCAATAAATCTTAAAAAACAAAAAACAAAAAAACCCCAAAACCCTCATACAGAAAGATGTGAGCTGCTAGGAAGATCCGATCAGAAGCTGCCATTAATTGATTAATCATTAAACCTTCTTAAATCTACCTTCTTGTGTCTTTCTCACTTTGAGTACTACAATACCAGGTTGCTGAATAGCTGCTAGGATCCAGCTTCTAGAAGTAAACCAAGGGTAAGCCCTCCAGTGCCTGGAAGTCAGGCCACACAAGAGAAGTTGCGTATTAATACAACAGAATCCTCTCCAACAATGAGAGGACAGCTGACTATACTGAGGCCACTGAAACATTTTCTATTTTAGTCTCTAGTGCTTTCGAGTTTGTGACACACTTGCAGGCAATAAGCATCGGTCGGAGGCGGGGTAAAGTCACCCAACAGCCACTCTCTTTTCCTCCCAAGACCCCAAGATCTTCCCACCAAGCAGGTACTTTCCTTTCTTTTCCCTTGTTTTAAAATAATGAATATGAATTAAAGAAATAGCCTAGATGTTCGTGAAGTAAAAATAAAGACTTCCCCTCAAGCTCCCCAGAGGCAGCCAAGTGCTAGCAGCTCTGCTCGGATTTCAGGCCTTCGCATCGGATGCGCACACACAGGTGCGGCTGCAGTGTTTTCTAGCCCCCAGCTTGAGATGGACTCAATTTAATTCTCAGTGAAAAACGATAAACTGCAGTGAAATAAAGTACTCTAAATTGGAATTTTTACAAAGTAAACATGCTCATTATAAGCACCCAGACTGAAAAATAGACAATTAGCCGGAGACCATTTTATTAAATAAAAACTTCTTTTGTATCTGTTTCCATTTTTACTAAATTCCGTCCCTCTTTTTCTCGAGGATGTCCCACAACATAAGGGATATCGCACCATATGAAGAATAGCTATCACTCTCCGTTAAGACATTTAAACAGTGATATTTAGGTGTAACTACATGGCTACAGTCAAAAGTTTTAACATCTTTAGCAAAGGAGAAAGCTAACCAGAGGAGGTGGCTCGTTTTCCAATTTAATTCTTCACTACATTCCATAGGCTTCCATCTATATGCACTCAGTGTGAAAAGCACATATCTGGACCCACCCCCAGTATGCACAATAATCTGTGTTGCAACACTAGCCGATAATCGCTTCCTAGTCTGTGTTTAACTTGTTACCTCAAAAGCCGTATTAGGTCGTACTGCACTGGAGACTTACCTCTTCCTAACAAAAACTGAAGGTGGGGGGAGAGGAAGGAGAGAGGGAAGAGGGAAGGGGGCCCTGGTGCTCTGTGCTCTCCCACTGCTAGGGGAGGGACACAGACCCTGTACTTATGGATGTCCAGTCACAGAGCAGTCCCGGAACACGACGTGTGCCCGCAAGGCCAACCACTCCACAGGCCCATGGCCATGGTCTCTTCAGCAATATGGTTTCCTGTTTCAGAGCATGCAGCGGGGGACCCTGCCTTTCAGCTAGACTCTGCAAAAACCACCACCATGGAGGCTCTCCTGGATGTTTCCCGATCAACTATTATTCCAGAGTTCTTTAGAGTGGACCTTTAAAGAGGATGAGGCAGGACAAGGAGTCTTCCTCGAGGGCTGACCCAGCAATCGAGCAACTGGGGCAGTAACCTGTGCTTTCCAAGGAAGAAGGCCTTTCCTGTGTTTTCTCAACAGTCGGATTCAAAAGGCCTATGACATTTCAAACAATCCGAAGGAAAACAAGGGTACAGAGCCATAGGCATTTTATTTAATATAAAAATTACACTGTGATGTTCTGCTGAATTCCCTTTTAGCCCGGAAATACGAAAATGAAAAGGAACTGAAATTGATTTCCATTATCACTGGATCGAGTGCAGAAACCAGCAAACTATGGCCCTCAGCCCAAATATGCCCAGTTTTTGTATGGCCCACAATCTAAGACATTTACAAAAAAATTTTTTTCAAAGATTTCATTTATTTGAGAGAGAGAGAATGAGAGATAGAGAGCACGAGAGGGAAGAGGGTCAGAGGGAGAAGCAGACTCCCTGCTGAGCAGGGAGCCCGATGTGGGACTCGATCCCGGGACTCCAGGATCATGACCTGAGCCGAAGGCAGTCGCTTAACCAACTGAGCCACCCAGGTGCCCGACATTTACAAATTTTTAAAGGGTTATTTAATTTATTTTTTTAAAAAGACTTATTTAGGGCGCCTGGGTGGCTCAGATGGTTAAGCGTCTGCCTTCGGCTCAGGTCATGGTCTCAGGGTCCTGGGATCAAGTCCCGCATCGGGCTCCCTGCTCCTTGGGAGCCTGCTTCTCCCTCTGCTTCTCTCTCTGTCTCTCATGAATAAATAAATTAATTAATTTAAAAAAATAAATAAAATAAAAAGACTTATTTATTTATTTGAGAAAGAGCGAGACAGAGAACACAAGCGGGGAGAAGAGCAGAGGGAGAGGGAGAGGCAGCCCGGCATGGGGATCGTGGGGCTCGATCCTGGGACTCCAGGGTCATGACCCAAGCCGAAGGCAGCCACTTAACAGACTGAGCCACCCAGGGGCCCCTTAAAGGGTTATTTTAAAAAATTCAAAAGAATATGTGAAATGACAGAGACTGCATATGGTCCTCAAAGTCTAAAATATTTATTATCTGGTCCTTTACATATAGTTTAGCCAACGCTTCATCTACTTTGAGGATAGACCGAAGGAATAGATGTATACAGAATATCTGGCTTATATGGACAGAGGGAGGACCCACTGTATGATCCAAAGAGCAGCTCCCACTCCCAGTTACCACTACCCAACTGCTTCTCTCCGTGGAGTGAATTCCGTGATGCTGTCCGTGAAAAGCCCACACAGTCCCCAAAGCAAACATGAACACTAAATGGCTACAAAAATGCAAAGTTGTGCTTAGTATACTTCCCAGGACATCTGTACTAGTCTTGTGTTCATCTTTTGGAGTTTCTTGGTTATTACCATGTGTGCCTACATTTTAGTAACCTGGGCATGGCTGTGTGTAAACCCCTAATGTTACAGGGACTTCAAATGAAGGGCCTTATCCCACTGACAGGGGTCCAGGAATCCCTGCCACATACACCTTTGAAGATTTTTTTTATGCCTACTTAAAAAAAAAAAAAAAAAAAAGATAGCATTTGGCTTACATTTAATTGCCAGTGGTGGTTACCTCCAAAAGCGGTATGTATGTGGGGAGAAATTCTTATATTGCTCTATGGTTTTCTACACTTTTTAAGATTTTATTTATTTATTTGACAGAGACACAGCGAGAGAGGGAACACAAGCAGGGGGAGTGGGAGAGGGAGAAGCAGGCTTCCCGTGGAGCAGGGAGCCTGATGCAGGGCTCAATCCCAGGACCCTGGGACCATGACCTGAGCCGAAGGCAGACGCTTAACAACTGAGCCACCTAGGGGTCCCTCTATGCTGTCTTTTATAATGAGAACCAAATTCATAAATTATTGGCATTGAAATAAAAATACCAGGAGCTTTCCTAATTTTTAAGATAAAGAGGAATGAACTAGATGCTCGAAGGCCCCTTTGAACTCTGTGTATAAGATGTGGTTAAGATCCCTGTTCTGGTGGCTCGGGGGGGAAGAGAAATGACAGGCACACATTAGAGCAGTGACAAAGAAGGAGAGGGACAAATGGGCTGCCACTTGAGGTGGGTCAAGTCATCTAAAGGTCTTATTTATCATTTGTGTTAAATTAAGTAGACAGAAACTGCTGCTCCTCTCTGTCTCAATGACATTCCAGCCTGAGCACTGAGCCTCAGTTCCTCCTGATATACAAAGGATGGAAGGGACTGCTTCTGGAGGAGGAGCAGGGCCAGCGAAGGAGGTCATGGGTGAGGGTAGGAGGACAGTGGTCCCACCATGTCGCATATCAATATAAACCGGGTAGGGGAGGGGATGTTCCGAGGGAGGGGGAAAAAAAAAAAGAAAAAAGTTCACTGCTCTCAACAGCCTGGGGTAGGAGATTATTTTGAATTCTCTGAAGTGAGAACACTAAGTGGTAGGCAAGGATAGTAATTATAATAAGCATTTATTGAGAACCTATTATATTGCCAAGCACACTGTGCTCTGGGGATACAAAGATTAATAAGATAACAGTCTTATAGGGCAATCAAACCTATCAACAAAACTATGTGGTAAGTACACTTTCTAAGACTCAAAAAATGGAGAATTATGAAACAGATCTGGCCTCAGGGGTTTTATGAAAAAGAATCAGGGAACGACATTTCTATAGTTTTATTATTTGAAGATCACTGACAGGTATTATCAATCCAAAACATGTACTATTATTAGGTAATAGTATATAACCTATTGTTTTAAATGAAACAACTGCTTCATTAAAGATCAACAGCAACCATTATCAATCTAAAATATGTACTACTGGGGCACCTGGGTGGCTCAGTTGGTTAAGCACCTGACTCTTGATTTCGGTTCAGGTCATGATCACAGGGGCCTGAGACTGAGCCCTGCAGTGGGTTCTGTGCTGGGCGTGCAATATGACTATATCCTACTATTAACGTGCAAAATCAACATGCTTTGTTAATTCTCTGGGAAGACAGAGTAAAAGGTATGACAACTATCCCAAGGACCTCAATTTTAAAAACATAAAATAAAATAACATTGTTTGAAATAAACAGATGGGTCTGACTCCTGGAAGACCAGTAGAGTCCAACTTACGGATGTGGTTTCATTTCTATGTAATTCTTGGGAATGAAGCCATCTTTCCCATTGAGTTCTGCCTTGTACCAGTTCTGATCACATTCTTCATTCAAAACCTAAAAAGAATTAAGACAAGGGGGGAAAAAATCAAATCATTTCCTTTTCACACTCTTAAAAAGGTAGCCACTAAGACAATTATGTTGCCATTTAGGTTTGTTTGTAAAAGGCATTATCTGAAGTATGATCAGTTAAATGGATGCAAGACTTCACGTGATTTCAAACAACCACATATCAACTCTTGCAGTTACAATTAAAAAGTAAAAGAAATGGTCTCGGAAAACCAGGGTCTGATCCCTGAACATCTAGCACAAACCCCTCAGTAGGAAAGCAAACGGGAGCATGACAGGTGAAACGAACAGTTTGGGAGAAGAGATTTGGGAAAACAGCAAGTACTGATGCTGGAGAATGAAGGGACTAAATAAGCCTGCTCTCCGGGAGAGAGCTTCTAGACTTCTCCAGAGCTTCTCTGGCCCATCTTCAGGATCACAGGGATCCAGTCCCGGGACAGCCACCGAACAGGTGTGTCAGGCTGCTGCTTGCATGCACCATCTGTCCACGTGTCCTCATACACAAACATATTTTCATGAAAAAGCATGGCAAGTCCTATTCCACTCACCCTCAAGGCCGCAACGTGTTTGAGTTAGGGAATGCTGGAAGCACAACCACTAGCCCGATTTAGGGGGAAGATCCAGAGACCATAAAACTGTAATACTGCATTCTCCAGACTGAAAACATTTTCTACAAACGTGACATGACTACCCAAGGTTATGAGCTAGTGGATCACACACAAATTTACAGATCCCAGACTGTTCCTCGTTACAGGAATGGGCTAGGCCAGGACGCCGCAGAGCAGAAAGTCAAAATTTGCTGTGCATGCCTCTAAACTTCGTTACTCTAGAACTTAAGAACACTGGTTCTGCTGGAGGCAAAGCACAGGAGAGAGAGAGTGTGTCCCTGCCAGCCTGGGCCACCCCAGGAGTCAGGGACCAGGTCTTCCGACCCAGTGGCTCCACTCACATCAGCATGACACGCAAGCCCTGCAGCTGGGGCGACTTAACAGATATTTACAAATTAAGTTTTATTCAAACGTCTACATGCTTAAAACAGCAAAGGACACAAATTAACCTATGTGAGTCCAAAGTGGAGCAGAGAAGGAGACCAGAACCATGTGTGGATGAGTCTGCACCTACAGAGACTGTGTTCAACTTCCCACGGACTGACGTGAATACTCACGTCCTTCACACATAATTAAAAGGCCTCATCAGAGTTCTGAGAATGAGGAAGTGCCCCCATCTCCATTCCCCAAGATGGAAGGCACGCTCACTCACTCATTTCATTCCCCCCGGAACGAATAGGTGGTGGCGTTCAACAACCAAATTTTCATTCAGTCCTGAAAATCTCAGGAAATGTTTTTAGGTTTCACCCCATGGCTGCAGGTTCTATCCCAACCTTCATATGCCCTCAAGTTAGGACTTTGTAGCCACACAAAACACTCCAGTTTAACGGAAGCAAACTGATCAAGAGATGAGATTATGAAAGGAGGAAGTGACAAGTTTCAGTGACTTTTTTTCTTCTTGCAAAAAGACTGAAAATAACGTCAGAACTCAAATCAGGAAGAGACCTACAAATGAGGAATGATGTGAAGTTTATACAGGACACTTGAAACTATTCCAGTCAATGGAGGGGGACAATAGGGGCTTTCAGGGTGTCACTAATGTTGTATTTCTTGACTGCATGCTGGCTACTGAACTGGGTATGTTCAGTTTATGAGAATTCACTGAACTGGGAACTCAGGGTCTGTGAACTTTTCTATATGTATATCATACTTCCACTAAGGGGCGCCTGGCTGGCTCAGTCGGTGGAGCGTGCAGCTCTTGATCTCAGGTTGTGTGTTCCAGTCCCACGTTGGGTGTAGAGATTACTTAAAAATAAAATCTTTAAATAAGTTAGAAATGGGGCGCCTGGGTGGCTCAGTTGTTGGGCATCTGTCTGCCTTCAGCTCAGCCCATGATCCCAGCCAGGGTCCTGGGATCGAGCCCCGCATCGGGCTCCCTGCTCCACGGGAGGCCTGCTTCTCCCTCTCCCACTCCCCCTGCTGCGTTCCCTCTCTGGTTGTGTCTGTCAAATAAATAAGTAAAATCTTAAAAAAAATAAAAAATAAATAAAATCTTTAAAAAAGTTAGAAATATTTCAGTCAAGAGAACATAGTAATATTCTGGTCCAGTTCACACATAAGAAAATCACACCAGGGCCTCCTCATACATCTTGGGTACAAACTTCACATCCCAAAAATACATAGGAAAGCAGAAAACAACACAGTAAGACTCCAGAAACCCCCAGAATGATAGCTTACCATAACTATTCTATGAAAAAAAATTTCCAGAAATAAAACTTTCTTGAACCTTGTGATTCTACTATTCTAATATTATGTGATTCTGATAACAGTATTCACTGCTGCCCTCACCCCCCCTGCCCCCCGTCTGAGACTATTCTTAAAGCAATGCAAATTTCCATTTATACCAACATGAAGTCAAAGCTTTCCAAACAGTTAAGGGGAAAAAAAAAAAAAGGTCAAAGATTTAGGTCTCAGGCCCCTTAGATCTGGAATCAAGGGGCTGAACACATGAGTTCAAATTCCAATCTCACCAGTGAACTATGTGACCGTGGACAAACGACTCTTGTCTAAAATTCTGGTTTCCCCACCTAGAAAGTGGTGGTGACACCTACACCTCCCAGGGTTACTGAGGTGATTGAGTAAGAAAACGTGATAAGCAGTGTAGCAATCAGTACAGAGCTACATTCTGGCTGTCTTAGTGGACAAATTTACTTCACAACATTTACCCTGCCTTATACATGTGCAGTAGTAGATCTAACAAAAAGTGGCAATCCTGGGAGGACTAAATATTACCTTCACTAAATCTGGTATCTTCAACGTAACGCTGTTCATGGGCACCAACAGCATACATATTAAGAGGACTGGGATTCTTGTTTTATTCTGAAAACACACCAGTAGGAGACTCTGGCTTACTTCAAGAAAGATTTTTTTTTTAAGATTTTATTTATTTATTTGACAGAGAGAGACACAGCAAGAGAGGGAACACAGCGGGGGGAATGGGAGAGGGAGAGGGAGAAGCAGGCTTCCCACAGAGCGAGGAGCCCGATGCGGGGCTCGATCCCAGGACCCTGGGATCATGACCTGAGCCGAAGGCAGACGCTAAACGACTGAGCCACCCAGGCGCCCCTCAAGAAAGATTTTAAATGCACAGTTCGAGGATCACAATAGCTAATTCCTTTCCCTGTCTCTTCTACACAGATACTGGGAGATAAGAACTGTACTTGATTTTCTACACAAATTACGGAAAAAGGTATTTTTTTAAGATTTTATTTATTTGTCAGAGAGAGAGAGAGAGAGAGAGACAGCACAAGCAGAGGGAGAAGCAGGCTCCCTGCTGAGGGATCCAGGCGTCCCAAAAAAGGTTACCTTTTAGGAAAATGGTAGATAAGTGTTTTGTTTATAAATTGCTTGTTTAGATTGTAATGTGAATTATGGGGCTATTCTCTTGTATGAACATATTCAATTATCTGTAAATAAACAAACAAAAGAAATCATGATTTTTTTTTTTTTTAGATGGGGGGGGGGGAGGAACAGAGGGAGAGGGAGGGCAAGAATCCCAAGCAGGCCGCGTGCCCAGTGCAGAGCCTGACACAGGGCTTGGTCTCACAACCCCGACACCATGGCCTGAACCAAAAGCAAGAGCTGGTCGCCGTTTAACCCACCGAGCCACCCAGGTGCCCCAGAAATCATGATTTTTAAAAAATAAGTATGGGGGCGCTGGGTGGCTCAGTCGGTTAAGCATCTATTTCAGCTCAGGTCATGATCTCGGGGTCCTGGGATCCAGTGCTCAGCAGGGAGTCTGTTTCTCCCTCTCTCCCTCTCCCTGCTTGTGCTTTCTCTCTCTCTCAAATAAAAACAAAACAAAACAAGAGGGGCAGTGGGTGGCTCAGTCAGTTAAGCTGCTCCCTGTTCAGCAGGGAGTCCGCTTGTCCCTCTTCCTTTGCTCCTCCCCCCTTGGCTCATGCTCTTTCTCACTCACTCTCTCAAATAAATAAATAAAATCTTAAAAAAATAAAATAAGAAATGTCAACTGGGATGTTGGTATAAAAAATAAATAAAAATAAAAATAAGTATGCAGTACAGTTATGCAGCAGTGCGCCAATCCAAAATTTTATCAATTTGTAAAGCAGCTTGTGTAAGGGCATTCGCACATAAAAGACAGGAACAATTACATATTTAGTCTCCTACACAAACCACCCTCCCTCAAATGCCACTTATATGTAGTCCCTGCATTAAAGAAATTCAACATAAGCCAGTGAGTTTCTCCTGTTCTTCAAGGTCAATCAATCCCACAGTAATGATAATGAAATAGTGCCATGACCTGTAGGCAGATTAAGAATGTGGTGATCCTACCATATTAATTGCAAGTTATTAAAAAAAGGGGGGGGAGAACACACACACACACACTTTTTAAAGTCTTAAACCCCTAAAAAAAATGTGACAGGGCCCTGGCTAGGGTAACTGCACTGGGTCAGCCATTTAAAAAACCCACTGTCTTCAGCTGCCTGTGACATATTTTATCGGAAACTATGAGAATGCTCCTCAACTTTAGACTCCCTGGGCACGGATTACTGACTCGGCCTCAGGCTGCACTGATTCACTGCTAACACTTTAGGTAAGTGCTTTACAATCACCACCTCCGTCTGTCACAGGTTTTGCTCAAAGTGAAAAACATCTCGGTTGTGCTGCCTGCTCTACTGTGAGCCAAATCATGAAAAACACCCACACTGTAGATAAGCTATTCTGATTTTAACGATGAGATGCCCAACTTAAAGGCAGTTTAATAATTAAGGTTCCTGGTCCCACAGAAACCTTCAATTGTTTACCCAAGCACACAGAGAGCACAATTCTCAAAGTTCACGCCGCCTGGCCGAGTCTCCAGGCTGAAGGACTACAGCTCAGTCAAGACACTTGACAGGCAGTCGGCCCTTAGACACCAGA